TTATAAACTATACAGAGGGGAAATGTCATGACCGTCAGGATCGTCAGAAGGCTAGACTGTGCTCTTCAGTTTCATGATTTCTTCAAAGTGGCGTGGACGAAAAGTCTTCGAGGGCACCAGTACAAATTGAAGCTAAAATATGCCAAACTCGAATTGCGGGCCAGTTCTTCTCCCACCGACTGGTTGAAGTATGGAACAAATTGTCGAACTCCGTTGTTTTAGAGGAAAACGTTGAGACCTTCAAAATAAGATTAGATAAATTTATGTTTGATGATCAAACATTTACACGATATCAATGATTAGCATAACTTCTATGTAAATATCTGCATGTTGTTCTAAAACGCCTAACTCTAACTAGGGTTTTCCAAGGCCCTGTTTCCATCCCTCTTATATACAGAATTATAAATGTCATTTGATAATGCACTCCATTATTTTGCACGCGATGCAAGTAATACTGGCGGGATGGTAACTTTCGTAGTCAAGATGTGGAGGTCCTTTAAGGATCGGGGTGATGAATGCGCACTTCGACTCTTACGGGAGCTCGCCTCCTTCAACTGACTCTTTAAATATTTTAGATAGTGGCTCGCAGAGTTCGTTAACAAGTCTTGGCAGTGCTCTTGCTGTAATTCTAGCCAGGCCAGACAATTTGGCAGGCTTCAGTCGAAGTAGTCTGACCCTAACTATAGTCGATTAAAAGTGTGGTTCCTCGATTAAGGAGGTTGTGGTGGAGGGTAAGAGGGAGAAGCGGAGTAGGAGACATTAATTGGCAAACGAGTGGAGTGGAAAATATAGAATTGACTTTTCGGGTGAAGAGGGACTGGAAGAAATTAAAAAAGAAGGGTGCCTTAACCTGGTCATCAGTCTCCACTTTCCCATCTGCAGAGCTAAGTGCAGAAAAGAGTCATAAGCTCTTTTAGTACTTTGTATATAGGCACATAGCATTTTCGGGTGTTCCAACGAATTTTGCAATATTTCCTTTTTGAGCTTCCTTCGGAGCCTAGAAGCCTTGCTCTTACGAACGTTGCGTTGCTGCTTATATTCCCATAAGTGCTCCTGGGGGCTGGTTAGTCTACAACGCCGCCAACGGCGATTTCTTTTTTAAAAAGACCTGTGATTTCGAGTTTATCCGCTGTGGGTGGTTTTCAATTGTCTTTTTTCTCAGAGGACAGTTGGAATAAACAACTTATATCAGTAAGGAACTGAAAGTTTTCCAATTGTCGTTTGCTCCAACATGTAGTTCTGTCTCCGATGATACCGCCGACAGATTACTCCTCACGAGAGAATAGTCCCATTTCCAAATGTTTCTCTACCACCCATCAGGCAGAATTGGTTTGAAAAACAGTGAATACTCGAAGTTGAGCGTAATGCGGTTGCTTTACCCTAATGGCAATCGGTTCTGCAGGTCAAAATCATTCTCATCTTCTCGGTAAAAATGAGATCAAGGCCGCTCGACAGTTGTCCTTTGCTGGCCCGCGTTCCAAAGGCAACGTTCTAGCAGATAAGTTCATCCGCTGCTTATTGTAGATTAACGATTGTGATTAAAGTTTTCTTTCGGCCATTGCGCAGTCCATGTTTGCCAAACAATCTCAGGGGCGTTAGAAGCCCCAAAGACGAAGATATTTTTCTTTTCACTGGCCTAATACAGTTCGATTATTAAAGTGAGATCCTGGTCAGAAGTTTGGTCAGGCGAACGGTACACCACCAAATGCGTCAGTGGTCTGATATACTCAGCAGATATGGTGACGCTTAAGAGTTTCACATCCCGTGCAGGATGATTCAACTGAGCCATAGCGGTCAGCTTACAAGTGACATAAATTATGATGTCTTTTCTGCTTGATCTATCTCCCCTGAATTGCTCATATCATCTAGGCAACATTTCTGGATCTGTGATATCTTCAGAAAGCCATGTTTTCATGAAAGCCATAATGTCTGGCTTTATTTCATCAAATCAGTCTCTTAGTTCGTCGAGTTTGTTGAAGAGACTTTGTACGTTTTCCGAAATAACTCTCAATAATTGTTTCGTCGGAGAGGCCCGGCCTTCATTGTGATAGGTTTTGACCACAGGAAAGACTTCTTAGTTTGGATTATTTAACCATTTTTGACTTCCAGCCCTTCCTCTCCTCTGCCAGTTCTCTCCCTCAATTCTCTTCTCAGTTCCCTCACTTTTGGCCTTTCCCTCGGTTCGTAGTCCGGCTGAAGAAACAGTTGTTTGTGCGAGCTCCATAAAGACGTTCTTCATTCTAGCAGAAGCGCTTTCTAGGCCTTTTTTTCTAAAATAACTTGAGGGGTCTAAGGGATGTTTGCAGATTACGGCCTGGGTCTCCTTTGCTTAGTCGGAAGGATTTTTATGGCACATATTTCCCCATCTTTCAGAACAGCACTGGTGTATTGATGAAGAAGGTCTAGACCATGTGTCACCCGTTCCTTCGGAATGCATGATGTGGACTCAGGGCATCCCTTATTACGGTATTATGCCTACGATTTACGGAAGAGCCCCTTATTGCCCCACCCTATCTACGTACTCTCCCTTAACGCAGCATCTCTCGCAGCCGTAGTACGCGTTCACATTCTTAATCTGTTTAATAAAGGCCCTAGCTGGAGCGTCACGTATGATGAAAGCTACACGGAAGCGCAGGTTTCCATTAATTGCATCGACACGCGAACCACCACTAACTAACGACATTAACTCATCGACCAGTGGTTTGCACGACGTCTGCACGTCAGAGGGCTACCGGATTCCGCAATATTTTCCTACGAAAAATGCGCTTACGTGGGCTCCATAATTCTACCTAAAGTAAGCCAGAGCTCAGGCTTAGTCTTCTTTTGAATTGGAAGCCCAGCCATTGCTAGGCACACAACCATTTCATCTGCAGGACGACGCAGAGAGGAAATACACAAATGGCCTTTCAGCTGACCTACAAGACGAAAATTAACGCACTCATCGTTGCCCACTGTTGCTTCCAGTGCAAAGGAGGTTGTCGCGCCCAAAAGGCTTCGTGCGTCAGCTGAGAGACTCAGCAACAATGGCCAGATGGAAGTTTGATGTTTTTGAACGTAAAATCTGCTTGCGCAACGTTGTACTTACTCCCGACAACTTTCCCGGGGCATTCCGCGTTGACTGACCGTCTTCGTACGTGGAGACAGGAGGGTAGTCAAATGTAGAAGAGCTGTCGCCATCGTGAATAGTCAAGGAATCAGAATCGTAAGTTTGTCTGTCTGACAACGTCGATGATGATGTGTCTGATTTCCCTTACCTTTTCATTCACTAATTGTATCACTTTTTTGGGTTCTCCTACGTGCGTGACGTCGGCGGTTTCGACCGCCAACACAATTCAGCATAGGTGGAACTGAAAGGAGAAAAAGCAATTAGGCAAAAAGGGTCACTTAATCAACGAAAGCGCACGTAAAGTTGAGATAGCAGGAAGGGGCACCGAGAGAGAGAGAGAGCATGAGTAAAGTCGAGCACCAGAGCCAATGGATAAGCAAGTGCTAACGTACGCGGTCATTTGCGCCCTTCTCACTGCCAGCGCAGTGGGCCTGCTCTGACGCCTCAACGACCTGCATTATGGTTGTTTGAATGATGAAAAACATTTGGCGCCCGGACCTAAGATGGTGACGGCGTAATTGTGTGTCGATGAGGGTGGCCGGTGTCCCTCCCTCTCACTACCGCCGATCCCTTCCCGCAACTTACCGTAACTCTCTAATAGCTCTCCCTCTCTACGTCAGCATCTCCATTTGGCACTCCTCTGAACTTGCCCACACCGCTGCGTTTCCCACCGGTTGTTTAGTTGGCATGCCAGTGTCGTCTCTCCGTCTCGGCAGGCTGATCTCTTGTTATATCTCATCCAGTTAATACAATCAAATTTTAGTATGTGTTCCCAGTTTCCATCTTCTCCCATTATACTTATTGGCTACCTAAATTTTCTTCTTCCCTTGCGTACGGATGAGTATTTCGACATGTTGACGGATCTATTCAGACCGGTCTTAGCCAGGATCTCTTCCCAGTACTTCATTACTATGGTATGTGCTATCCTTGACGTCCTTGTCTACTATACTGACAAAAACTCAGATTCTGAGGTTGGTGAACTCACCCTGTAGGGATGCCGACACGGTTTGTCCGATTTCGGCTTACAAATGATGGACTCCCTATGCGTTGTCGGTTTTCCACCGATACCGCGGCGCCGCGTTAGCAACCCCTGAATATTGATCCTATTGGCTAGTGCAAGACTGCCATATATGGCAGTTTGAGGCTTCGATCACCTTAATGGCTAGTCCTCTGTCACATCCTGCCTTTCACTATCCATACTTAATGTTGCCTAATGGTTTATTCGCCAGACCTATCCGCATCGATTGGAGGTCCCACAAACACCTCTAAAAAGTGGTGTCCGGACACCTTGGACTGGGGAACAGCTCCCCTACGTCCTAACACGCCATCGCCATTCTCGCTTGCCAGATCAATCAAGGGCCATCGCCAGACCAATCAGGCCACGCCAAAGGACCTCCCCGCGTTCTCTCCCCTCTTTGAACTCCAATCCGTCCTCCCGTCGTCAAAAATAATCCCTAATCTCCTCCTTAGACCACTGCCTTCTCTTCCTCGGGGTCGAATAGGAGTGTTTCGACACTTAACACACCTAGACCGCTTACGCTCCTATCTCTGTCGAATGCAAAATCGCTGTGAGCTACCTTGCTATTAAGGCGATAACCCTAACGCCAACAGAGTTAGACATTTCTGTGAGTTGACCTGTTTGAAATTACAACATCCAGTGCCTTCGAAGTGAACCAGGTTATTTTAACTGACTAATCACCGTACAGGTGTCGTTGACCAATAGGGAACGAGCGGTCACCGGCGCCCCACAAGGACAGACCGTCCCTCCTATTCGTCCCCAAAGTTCGTACGCTGGAATGAGGCCGTTGTCGTTGCGTTTCATTCAGCCGTCCGCTCGCAGATGTGTTAGACCTCAGTGGTAAATGCCTGTTTTTGACTAAGTCGTAGCACCATTATGCGTTTCCTGGCCTCCACAAACAAATCGGACCAGCCGCCACGGACAAACTCCTTCGTGATGAATATTTTTAGTGGCCAAGCATGTCTGTCCGAAGTATTCCCCTACCCGAGAGGTATTTCACATTTATTATTGCTAACTTATGTACCAGTGTTATCGGAAGAGCGTCGTGGCGTTCTGGAATGCCTTGTTGATCCTGTCCAGAAATTTGTTGAGGTGATTGTATAGTTGTGTTTTACTGTTGCTGTAGAATGAACTTACACCTGCTACATATGATAAACAGGAGAGATTTCCAGACGAGTTGTTGAATGCTTTAAAAGGGATGGGGGCGTTTGGTTTGCAAACTCCTGAGGATTTTGGTGGTGTTGGCCTGAACAACTCGGAGTACGCCCGACTGGTTTCCGTTTTGGGAATGAAAGATTTGGCTCTTGGCATCGTACTCGGAGCACACCAGGTATTAAAATTTTAAGATAGGGATTCTCACTGTTCCATTCTCATAATTTTCGTGTCGTCTAGCTTCAGCAGTATTTGACAAACTTTTTACTAAAACCTATGAGCTACTATGGAGACTTATTACGTTCCGAACAATTTTTAGAGCATAGGTTACAAGGGGATACTTCTTTATGGGACTCCTCAACAGAAGAAGAAATATCTCCCGTCTCTTGCGTCAGGGGAAAAACTCGCTGCATTTTGTCTGACTGAAGCCGATGCTGGCTCAGACGCCGCGTCCGTTAAAACAAAAGCAATCCCATCTGCAGATGGCAAATACTACACACTTAATGGAAGCAAAGTTTGGATTTCCAATGCCGGTACTGCTGACGTTTTCACTGTTTTTGCCAAGGTAAGTCCCTCCTCACACAAAACAAAACCATCTTTTTTTGCAATACGAATGCCCGAAGTGTCCTGAACGCTCCTGATCTACTGAAGATCTACCTGCCGGAGTCAGGACGGTCACAAGTACGCGAGGAGCCAAGACGGGAAAAGTAGGATGAATGAATCAGAATGAATGAGTACCCTAGAATTGGACTTTATTAATCTTACAGTTGATATATGAGAACTAAGGCGAGAAACAGGAGGGTAGCAAATAAGGCAGAATTTCATCGAAGCATAAGTTAGCATGAAATTTGCCTAGAGCAACAAACAGAAGAATCGAAGCGTTGAAAAATCTGATGAGTTGTGCGTGTGGCAAATTTTAGGTTTATCTGTTGAGAAGACAGTCTGGGTGAAGGCGTTGTTGTTTAACCAATGTGGAGGCGAAAGCCCGAGTTCCAGGCGTATGAATAAGTGAAGGAGGCTAGCCGACCATCGGAACATTGTGTTTATTGTTCTCAGCTTTTCAACTCGTTTAGGAGTCCATCGTCAGAAAGTAGCATTATCAGAACAAGCGACAGTTAAATGGCGTGTTGGCCGATAACCGAGCGATGTCACAAGGGTTCTGTACATGGGCGCCAGCTCGATAAGTCGATTAACTGAGTTTTCATCCGAGGTCCAGGCTTCAATCATTTCTCGGCCCGTGTCGTTTCTGTTGCAGGCGATTACTTTGATAACCGCGTAACGTTCGTTATCCCCGCGACCGGTTTGTGCAGAATGGCTATCTGAGGCACTTATAAGTCGTGATACCGCCCCCAGAGGAATCAGTCATCAGCGCCACCAACTATATGGCACTCAACCACACACCAAGGACGTTCCGGAAGCGACCGGACACATTGCTGCGGATATAGGTTGTGGATTTGCACACCGGCCCAAAGCCATCATGCGCAGCAAGGTCATGAAAGTTGGAGACTGATTAAAGCACGAGAAGGAATCTGTGTGTTGCATTTCGTGCAAAAACTGTCCTTATAACCACACATGCCAGACTGAACGCATGCTCGGATCGCGCATACGCGCCGAGAATTGATTGAAGCCTGGGCCTCGGATGAAAACCCAGTTAATTGATTTATCGATACGGTGCCGGCGCACAGGGCTCTGCGCAGTCACTCCCAATCATGCGTCATCGATCGATGATTGCCTAACACGCCATATAATTGCCGCTTGTTCTATTGTTGCTTCTATCCCTGACGATGGACTCCTGCACGAGTTGGAAAGCTCAAAACCAGAAAAAACAGAATGTTCCGGTGCTCGGCCAGCCTTCTTCACTCGTAATCAGTGTCTCCAGGTCATGCATGTGGTCATCGTCATCGCCAGCGGCACTAACAGGTGTTGCAGCATTCTGTTTGTCAGCCAAAATGGTGTTGCCTTCCTGCTCAGTAATGGATGGGTGGTCAAGTGAAAGTGGAACGGAATCTCCAAGTATGGGACGTGGCCTTCTCCTGGTGTCCATCACCGACATCATTTTCACCTCTGGGAGCAAGAAGTCGGGCGGATGCGGTTTCTCTTCTGTCACTACCCAACCGTATGTGACCACATTGGGGTTTGCTCTGAGGTAGATCAACCTCAACGGGCGGTCTATACTTAGACCGTTTACCGCACTTCAACAGAATTCGGCCAGGAAATGTGAGCCTCATAGGGAGAGTGAATCCAGTGGTTGATCTCCCACTAGACAAACGCTTGTGGTGTCGCATTAGTAAAGGTACGCGAAAGTGATCCGATTGAGTGCAAGGCCTTGAGTAGAGCGGGTTTCGAGTGTGTGACGGGCATACTTTGAGATATTAGGGCGAGGAAAAAAGTTCCCACAAATTTTGGTTTAAACGCTCCACCTGTTCGTTCTCCTGGGGATTGTATGGTCTTGTCATACTAGTTGCCACTCCTTTATCACCGGGGAGTTGCTAAACCTCGTATGACCTAAATGGCTATCCCTGATCGGCGTGGATGAACAAGGGGACTCTGAATATGAAGAAAAGCCGGGACAAACCTTTAGTGACAGTTTCGCAGTTTGATCAGAACAGGCAAATTCAAATGAAAAACGGGAACATTCATTAATAATCATCGGCAGAGAGCAATTTTGGGTCATCGACGGGCGCGAACCTTCGAATTTGATTGACAATTGTTCGAACGGTTGGGTAACTTTGATGAGTTGGTCCTGTGCTTTAGAGAAGGAGTGAAGTCTGACTTCACAACAGGTCTGACATTTAGTGACATTACGAACCTTTTATATCGAAAAGCAGATATTCCTAGCTCAAAGTGCCACAGCCGAGAGACACCAGGATGACAAAGTGACTCATGTAGTTCTGTCAGATCGATAATCGCTACCGGGACCCCACGACAATTATGGGGAAGCGTATCCGCTGCTCGGTGTTCTTCTCCAGGTCGGTAAGTGCGCAAACACGAGAAATAAGGGATCACGTCGACAGATAGCTGGCCTGTGTTCGCCCATGGGAGCCCCAAGTCGTCGATCCCTGTGACCATTGGATACGGTAAATAGCGTTCGCTTACTGTTCTTTGGGTGTAGGTCCCTTTGTCCGGGATAATGCCGCGCATAGGGAGGACGTCGGTTTGTAAAAGATGCAGATTCTAGACCGGTTTGATTATCGGGTGATCACTCCAGAAGTTCCTTGCGTGTAGGACGAAAGATGGCGTTTCCTCTGTACCATTTTTCCATCATAACAATGATCATGTGGTTGTCTCTGACGTCTAAGACAGTTTTCTATGAAGCTTATAGGATATTCGTCAAATTGGAATAATTGATATAAGTTGGCCAATTCTCTTGAGTAGATACTCGCTGCTACAGTACCGTAGGGCGCGTTGAAGGAGTTTGAACGAACTTTCTTTCGTGGACCACAGGATGGCTGCTCCCGTAGTTTAGAATGATTTCGTCACTGGAGTCTTCTGTGGACGCTGGTTGCGAGATGGGCACCACACAGTCTTTGCACATTGACGTCGAGTAACGGGAGGATGTCTCTGTTGCTTCTTCGCGAGTGAATTTTATGGCGGGGAAGACGTCACTAAGACCCCAGTGCAGTTGTTCGACTTTGCAGTCTTTTATATTAACGAAGGTACCATCTACGTAGCAAAGTCACATTTTTGCTCTGAGGGTTTGAACAAAACCTTCTTATAATCGTTCTAAAACTAGTTCAGAGAAGAGCTTGGAACGTCTCCTGAAGTTCGACTCGCTTCTTTATAAAAGCATCCTTGGTGGCGGCAGTTATGCGCTGCAGTACGTTTTCGAAAATGTCTGCAGGTAGGGATGAGACGTACCGGCTCTTATAGTCCGAGGTTACGGCCTCAAATTGACGAAGACGATGGTAAATGTCAGATATAATCGCACGAAATCCATATTTGCGAAAAAGTTACTTGCCCACCTCATTGGACAGTGTTGATTTAAAACGGATAGACTTCGGTAAGAATCCATGATCGCGATTGTATCGGACGTCTACCATCGTCTTCGTCGATTTGAGGCGGTCGGAATGATGGGTTTTTGGCTCGTTGGCCTGAATCTTTAATATGCGAGCTGTTGTTGTGTGAGCATTTCCTGCCTTGGTTTTTACACCACTGCACGGTTCTCTCAGTAGTTTAGCCAGCTCTTCGGGCACTACAAGTAAATGACACAATCGGACGATACTTTGGATTAGACTGCATCCTCGCATTTCTCGTCGACTTTTCGCCGACTCCCCCCCCCCGCATCAGTCTGAGGTGTCCCATGCCTGTTTTGAGTTTTTGGCGCTATCTTATTGCAGCCCTTTTGCCGTCCGACTTGCAAAGGTACGTTTTAACAGTGGGTTGTTAAAACTGCAGGCGCATATCAGCTTGGTCCTATATATTTCCAATTACGGAGCCAAGCGGATCAATCCACATAGCTCGAGGCAAAAGGTCAGAGAGAACTTTAGCACTTCACCCGGTCACCAAAAACCCATTTGAAACAATGAGTACTCCATGTTAGGAGCAACAGGCATCAAAAAGGCATCAAAGGCATTAGTGCGTCAACACCTCAGTGATTCGCTGGTCAGAAAGTTCCTCGCACTTTATGATGGTCACCATATTTCCGTCATCCAGGGCGGTGTCTTCTCTCCCAAATCTCACTAAATAATAAGGGATGAGAGTAAGTCAAATGCATGGTTTAAGGGCGTTTGTTTTTCACAAAATTTCTATCACAGTGTGTGTTCTTGCTGCACCACAGGTTCCTGTGAAAGAAGCCGACGGCTCCGTTAAAGAGAAGATGACCGCGTTTATTGTTGAACGAGGTTTTGGAGGCGTTGCACACGGCCCACCCGAGGACAAAATGGGTATTAAAGCATCCAATACCGGCTCACTGTTCTTTGACAATACTAAGGTACCCCCTGTGCACTTTGCATCCTTGAAATTGTTCTTTTCTCATCTCTCAGTGATAGTGTCAGTACTTTGCTTTTAAAATTGCAGGTTCCGGCGGAAAATGTGCTCGGCGAAGTAGGTGACGGTTTCAAGGTTGCTGTGAAAATCTTGAATCAAGGTCGGTTTGGTATGGCTGCGGCGCTATCAGGCACCATGCGATCTGCCATCTCTCAGGCAACGGAGCACGCTGCCTCACGCAAGCAGTTTGGAAATACCTTGGACCATTATCAAGCTATCGAAGAAAAACTAGCGAATATGGCTGTACGCCAGTATACAACAGAGGTTAGCTCTCAGCCCATGCTTTATATCAGTAGGTTCGCTCTAAAGTCTTTGCATCTGCCATTTCCCACAATTTTTATTTAACACTTGGTCCTCTCCACAACAGTCGATCGGTTTTATGCTGTCTGGGACAATGGATCTTGGGGCCAGGGATTTTCAACTCGAGGCAGCCATTTCGAAAGTCTACTCGTCTGAGGCCGCGTGGTATTGCGTTGATGAAGCCATTCAAGTAGGTTTTGTTGTTTTCACCCATTTCGATTTTTGCCTTGGGAGGTCCTTGGCTCGATATAATTCAGAAAACTAACGTATCTTTTAATGGAGGTAAAATAACCTGCTGTTGAATATGAGCCAGTTCAAAAGACTGGATTAAGTCGCTAAATCAGCCGGTTTAGTCATACACGCTGGGAAGACCAGTGTTCTCGGTTTGGGTCTCTGGCCAGGAGAAGACATTCCTTAGAATTAATAGCTGTCGCCCAGTAAAAGTGACGGGACTGCTGCCAAATGGACAGAGTAAGGACATTAACTCCGGATCGATGCCGGTCCTAAGGATTTCACAATCCTTGGAAGGTGTCCATCGACCCGACGCGATATATTCATCGCCACAAAGACATGCGTATGCCGATCGTTCGTCTAATCAGTCCTACTCGATTTTGAATGCTGGGCTTTCCGCGTGCAAAATGAGCGAGAACTGTAGGTTTGACCATTATTGTCTGAGAACGATTCTCCTGGTAAAGTACGCCGTATTCGTCTTGAATGGGGTAGCCGGCCCTCACGAAGCTATTGCAGGCTATTCAAGAAAGACCACTAATGTGATTTGGGCGCGTTCTTCGTTTCTCGTCCCATGAGTCCAGTGACACTGCCCATCTGGAGGTGTCGAGGAGGCCAATTCAGAATCATACAGGCCAGATCCCGTTAAGACATGGAGATTGTTTCTGAGCTTTATGTATTCGGTCTCCCGTGCTAGAGAGAATGGATCGAGCTCTGTAGATCCGACGGCACAGGTATTCACGCATGGGGAGGTGCAATTCGCAGCATCGTCCTGATCACGGCCGTACCAAGTGCAAGTAAGTGAGAAATCCACCAACTTGAATAACTGACAACAACCGGATTGCCGTTACAGCGTCCCACTATGCACAATTTCTCGTTGGAAGGTACCCCTTTCTCACTCCTTGAAACCAAAGCATGCGGATCGGCCATCAAGCTTTTGGGCTGAGCAAACCTACACACCCGAGTGTAAATGCCACAGTGGTCTATTGAGCGGATCCTGGATGCGATATCGAAATTCGTTATCAAAAAGCCTCAAGAACTGCCTTCCTGCAGGCCATGTCTAGCATTCTTGTCTGGCCGCACTCGACTTGAATAACGAGCTGTTCCTTCCTATGGATGCGACGTTTTTATGCCAGATTACCCAAACGCTAGAGCACGCAGTCTCTGCTGTTGTCCTAGGTCACTTCAACTGTACCATGATTTGATTCCGAGAGTCACTTCGACTTTTTTTCTACCAAGGCACGTTTCTATGAACCAGAACCTCCCGTCCGAGCCCGTTGTAGTGAGCAGCTGTGAAAATGGAAGGATCTGGTGAAGGCGAACGTCGAGTTTGCGTCCGGCCCCACAACTGGCATGACAGGCAGTGACCAATCTCATGCAATGTTATCTAAAAATTCGGCAATGCCCTTTCGATTAGGGGGGGGGGGGGATTATTTAAGTGGGCTTGCAATACTATCTTGCAGCGTAATCCCGTGATATGTCAGACACGCCAGGATGTTGGCTTCTGAATGTACTTCTTTCCATTGAAGAAGGAGACACGATTGCCGAGACAAGAGCTTTCCAGTCACCTGCAAAAATGCACTCGTTAGAAAATGACTACTTTCTTCACCGATTTCCAACGCCCTTCTAAATTCAAAATATCTTGCAGGAAGCGTGTACGAAAACATTATTTCTTGCGTAGCAGATCACATTTTCAAATTTCATACCCGAAGAAAGGGTATCTTGTGGTTTTTAAAAAGTCCCTAATTATTGGGTTTTTAAGACCGTGCACTGTCAATTCGAATAGCGTAGTACCTGTCAGTTTAATAATGCTCCTCATTGAGTATGCAACATAGCCCACGTCCGTTACAACACTTTATGAACGCCATGTGGTATTTTCTCAATGACATAAAGGAAGGCATGTTTTTCCTCACGCGGAAAATGTACAGCTTCGAAACTGAAAACCCTAAACGAAAGTGCAACGGCAGATCAAGTTTGAGACTAGTCGGGAATTGAGAAACCTTTTGAAACCAAGCATTCCCTTTCTTCAAGTATAAAATCTTTAAAAGACAGGATTTGGTACCGAATAAGTACAAGAGATAATATGTTTGTGGAAGTTTTCCCTAAAATATATTTGAATTTGCAAGAGCATCAAAAATTGATAGGGAAAACGCATACTATTTAAGCAGCCATTCTTTACCGCGGGCATTTTTTGCAGGTGATCGAAAGAAAGTTCATTTAAAAGCCAACACCCTGACGTGTCTGAAATATCACTGGTTACTTCGCAAGATAATTAATCTTACAGTCCCACTTAAGTAATCCTACCTAATCAAAGACCCATTTTAGAATTTCGGTTAACATTTCATGAGATCAGTCACTGACTGCAACTGCCGTAAAAACGCAGCCGGTTAGCTGCATGAAACCATCTAAAGCAATCATAAACATCAGTGCAAGAAAGTATCGCTGGCCGCCTATGAAACTTATTTCTACCTCGTTGCAGATTCTTGGTGGAATGGGATTCATGAAGTCGGCTGGTCTGGAACGTGTTCTTCGGGATCTTCGCGTGTTCCGAATTTTCGAAGGTGCCAATGACGTACTTCGTTTATTCATTGCGGGAACTGGTTGTCATTACGCTGGCAAAAACCTGGCCGCAGCCTCCAAGTCTGCTACTGGCATTCTAAGCGTGGCCGGGAAAAGAGTATTGCGGTAAGTTGTTAAGTTTTCCCCACTTGCTCCTGTTCTAAAGGTTACAAATATGGGTAAATCCGCTCCAAAGACAGTGGATCCACTTACTTTCTAGAACTGTTTCAATGCGCAAGCTGTACCACGCATTTTCTTTTCCAGGTGGTATGTTGAGTCATTGCTCTGGTTTTGCTCTTCAGTTGAGGATACTACTACTACTACTACTACTACTACTACTACTACTACTACTACTACTACTACTACTACTACTACTACTACTACTACTACTACTACTACTACTACTACTACTACTACTACTACTACTACTACTACTACTACTACTACTACTACTACTACTACTACTACTACCAATAATAATAATAATAATACTGCCACTACTTTCTATTGCTTCACAGCTTGCTTTATTTGCTTTTTACTTTAGTGCTTTACACCTCACGGGTAATTCGAAGGCCATCGTAGCAAAATTGCCACCGGAATTGAATGCTCATGGACGAAAGCTTGGTGAAGCTATTGATGCCTTTGGTGGAACAGCCGAGTCGCTAATCTTGAAATACAAGAAAGATCTAATTGAAGAGCAGTGTCGTCTGTTGAGACTCGCTGACGCCGCCATTCAAATCTATGGAACAGCATGCAATCTCTCACGCGTCTCGACATCCCTTCGGGATCGCCGTCAATCAGCCGACTACGAGCTTTATCTTGTTCGCATGGCTAGCAACACCGTGAGTTCGGTCTCTGTCTCCTGCAATTATTTTTCGCCGCTAGTGTAATTGCATTTGCCGTATAGTATTTTGCGCTTATAAATGCAGCCATATATTTTTTCCTTGACCAGTTTTCCGTGCATAACCGGCTAAATGTCTTAAATCTTGGAGACCGCCTGCAGTGTACCACTTCCGTTACTATTGCCTGTCTAGTAGGTTTCCGAAGTACAACTCCAGGTCGTTCTTTACCACACCGTACACTGACTTTGTTTATAACTGCAAACGAATGCAGAGTGTAAACAGATTGTACTTGAAATTGACATGACTGTGGTCGTTTTCAATGTAAATAGTCTTCTTTATGATGCATATGTTGTCCCTTTAGTCTACGATAGCTGATTAACTGGCCGCACCCACCCCGTCACCAGCGGCGGAGACCGAAAACCGGCCTTCTGGGAATCGCTTTCCTGTCTTGGCGGTCTACGTCGAGCCTGGTTTTTATCTGACTTTTCTAATCGCTGTCCCAGTTACAATGGCTGTTGTTAGCTGGCAGGAAATTGCTCCTATCGACGCCGTTGATCTAACTAGCATGTGTACGAATGTCCTCTGGTAGTCCACAAACCAGGATAAGCCATGACACGCCGGACAGCGATTGAGAAGGGCGGTTTCCTGTAGTCCCGGGAGTCTGAGGTAAACGTCCCCATCCAACCGCCCGTCACTCCATTTTAAGGTTCCAGGATTACGCCGGACAGCCAGCCAGCGAAGCCGTACTGGGTAGCAATCAACATCCGCCGTATTTATGCCCCACGACTTTTGACCCTTTTATGGGCTACTGACCAGCTACTTCAGTTTCCAGCCGCGCCTGAAAGTATTAACTACTGCATGGCTTAAGCATGCTTTGTCGTCAGACCTCATAGTCTGCCTTTTTCTCTGCCAGCCCATACCGAAGTCCGTTACCCGCTCTACCACCTATGGGTGCGTCTGGTCGAACTCACTAAGACTACCATACAGGCTTCGTCGCCCAATTATTCCTTTTGTTTGGGGTTAGGTGGTTGAATCATTCCTGAGGCGGTTACACCTAACCCCCCCCCTAGGAAGTCGACAAAGAACGCGTCTAGATTCCGTCAGCCTGGCATGTCCTCACGAAGTTATTGCAGCCAGTCTCGCTAAGACGAAGGATCGTCCTCAGGCAGCGTACAGCGCAGCACCCGCAGTCACATTGGAATGAACGCACTAATTCTCAGTACCGCAAGGTGTCAACAACTTAATTAAGGGCTGGCAACGGAGTGCCGTCTAATCAGTTATGCAACTAACAAACACCCGGGTTTTTGCAGTATTGTTGGTCAAGCCAAATGATTTAGTCGCCTTGTTTCCCCGATACCTTAAAGGGTGTAGGCCATTATAGTTTAAAGCTGCCCGAACAATATCGCTAGGGTAGTTAATAACGTCGTACAACTTTGGCACCACGAATTCAGCATACAGCCCTTCTGACGACCCAGTGCCTGATGCAGGTCCAACGTGGCGACCACTTTTCACGACTAACAACAACATGCACACTCCTGTCATTATTTTCGACTGCATAGAAGTACTCCCTCCCTAGATAAGCCGCCAATTTTACGGGGCATCGCCCTATAAATGAGCCTCGGATTAGTCGGTAAATGAAGAAGCGATCCTTTCAATTAATTGATAGGGCCGTTTTCACAAACTTCATTGTGCAGGGACCGCGGAGCCTCGGACTGTTTTTTTCTTAGAAGCTCGATGGGGAGCACGACCACTCAAGCCGGCTCTTGGTGTCGCATAAGCCCCATTCCAAATGTATAGTACCTCTGCTTGAGAATAAACGACAGCATATAGTATGTGATATAGCTCACGAAACGCGGTGACGGGGATTTGAATTATCAGATTTAGGCACTTAAGACGCCGTGAATTTTGTCTATTTGCTTAGCTCGTTCCGGGGAATGTCCAGAATATGTTTACAAATTATCTTCCCAACCAAAACACACATCCGAGCAGAAATCCACGCTTGTGAGAACGCTATTAGAAACCGCCAAAATAATCATCATTGAATGGTCATTTCAGACTCTGAACACAGGGAAAGACACTTTTCGTACGATCTAGTTTATGCTTCTGCGTAATTCTGAACCGAAACAGGCAAAACATTAGCGGTCTGCATTTATATGACCACTCCTCTGTACATCCATAATCATTAAACGGAACTAAGATAGCGAAAATGGCTACAATATAAAGAGAAAAGTAAGTTCTTCAGAAAACTTATCAGTATTTTTCGGGAAAGTGAAAAAACGGCCGAAAATGCCATTTCTATTGGCCTTACCGTGTAGAAGGGTAAATTGCAGAATGGCTTTACCGACAAAGACAAGGGGGACAGGAATGGTCATTTCTTACTTGTTAGGCGTCATCCGCCAGTCATACCCAACCCCTAAGTGTGGAACACCTGGGGCTCGAACTCGCGACCTGTTAGTTAGAAGTCCAACGTCTCTAACGACTGAGCCACGGGCTCGTTGTCCTGTCGGTTGCGATTGGGAATGTACAATGGTAGAGGGGCGCTCACTCGTCCCGTTGTACCGTAGGGCTCTCTCTCGAGCTCAACCAGCAGCCGCACAGCGACGCATAATATAAGTAGAATAACATTGCCGACAAAGACAACGGAGACTGAAATGACCATTTTTGGCTTATTAGCCGTCGTCAGCCAATCATACCTAACCTCGGAGTGTGGAAGTGCGGCTGCTGGTTAGGCTCGAGAGGGAGATAGAGCTCTAAGGCACAACGGGACGAGTGAGTCCCGCAACACGGTCGTTGAGCGCCTCTCTACCAAGGTAAAGTGCGTGGACATTGGTCAGCAGAGTACAGTATTAAAGCACTTGTTAAGTAGGTAACTTAAAGAAGGCTTTCCAATTGACCGGAAGCATGTTTGTCGTTGACTTTTGTTGTGGACGTCTTTTTTCGACAATGGGGTTTTATTTTTAGGTCAGTGTTCAAATATGACCCAAGCGGCCATCTTTATAAAAAGGACGTCCAAGTACTCAATACTTCAGCAAACGCTTTCAGGGAATACCTTATTTCGAAGGTTTTGATAAATACGTGGCACAGAACAAGGGCAATTAGTCAAAAGCAGCGGTAATCGTAAAGTATCCAAGGGCGCTGTGAGACTACAGACTTTACTGTCAGGACATTGAATAGAAGGACATTTTTCGTCGATTTAAATTACTACGCACGCCACTGACACCGTTTTGTCTTCAACACGGAGTCCTTTTAATGCACCAAGTTTACGTTTTCCGGTTGCCCTACAGCGGATTTGGCCGACAGTGGACTTTACGATTACCCTCGAAAACAGGAATTACAGTTGATGCGCATGAACTTCCAACGGTCTGCCAAGGGCCACGCAGAATCGACTATCGTTGTTCTATTTTTGACGAAATGCGACCCATTCCATCTTACCTTTGAGCCCAGTGTTCAATCCTACGATAGGAACAAATCGGTGAATGTCTCTTGCATGAGACTTCCAATACACTCAGTCGCAACCGCCTGGATGTCAGGCTATGGGGTTGGGCGAAGACGATAAATGAGACGAAAGTTACCATTCCCAGTCCCTTTGGTCGTTTCCGTCAATACTTGTCTCCTATGGGACTAGTGAGGTCCATTCGTCTTGGATAGTGAACTAAGTCGACACGAATGATCCCAAAAGCGTCAAGCTGTTTTGCGTGAAATGTCCGCTCTTGGCGTGGCTTTTGGCCTTATACTTCCTAGGCGCGGTTTCAAAATGAATCAATAGAAAACGTACTTCAATAACGCGCATGGATTCCGGATTTAAGTTTGAAAAAAACTCATTACCGTGGTTGTGCCATTTGTACCCTTGGTTTTCAATATTTCGCATCATTTTATGGAGATGCACCCAGATTCATTGTGGCACTCATTGAATAGGAAATTACCTCCTGTAATTCGGCAGTTACAATGAGAGGATCTTCCGATTTTCTAAAAACTTTGCGGCTCTGCGCATCCATGCCTATTGTGACTTCATGTAATCACCAACAAGCTCCCCATGTGGACACGCAGGGTTGTGTTACTTCAGAGAAGATGTATTGTGTGTGCATGGAGCGTTGAAACTTCAAGAACCGACGGTGACTCGAATTTCATTTTAAAGTGTACCGTTCTTCGTTTTTTTCTGACCGCAAGTTCCCCTGCAAATATAAAAAAGTAGTCGGCATAATTTCTTATAGAATGGGCATAAAACGAGCCTTCAAAGCGGTCTGTTGCAGAATGTAGCGTTACCGCGTTGGCCTAGCCACCTGGCGCTTCCACGGACGGCAGATATTGGAACGATTTTCGGTGAAGGCCAGCTGCAAACTATGCTGGTCTTCCTGTCTACTAAGTGGGTAGTTGTGGACGAGAATCGACATTGTTGATAGGACGCAGACGGCTGAAGTTTGGCACGCCGATGACGGGACTGTGTCGTGGTGGCAGTGAACCGTCATTGGACGAGTTTTCTCGCCACCGTTGCCGTTGGTCAGGTGCCAGGGAGGACGATCTTTAAGAAGCTATTGAGGCGGCTTCTGGGAACCTAGATTCAATTCTGGGGCGGTACAGCCACAAGGCCTCCTGGCAAAGGCCGCATCTTCACGGAAGTACAAATTTCGTCACCACACTTTGGCGCCCTGCCCCCCAATGCGGTCCCTGAACACGCGTGGGGGCTTTAGGTCGGCATTAACGGCTGGAAGTCAGTTATCCTCAGGCCCATTTTTATGAAGTTTTCGTGAAGATAATACGAAGTTTGTCAAGTACCCAACAGAATTGCCGATGAGAACGGAAGCGTGACCTTCGGGAAACAGTTGACAAGAAAAAGCTCTTATTGTCGGAACATGACCATTCACTCTTCCCGGGCAAGGCCTTGGCATCAAATAGAGATTATTAAGTATATTGGTGTATGTTTTTAGAGCACAAAACAATACCTCCAAAACATGCTCCCATCAACCTACATAAACTTTCCCTCAAACTCCACAAACCTGGCCCGATTAAGTGCTGAGACCTGTTTTTATGTGGTGTCTCTTATGGGTTTGCGCCTTTCCAGGCGTCATTCTTGCCCACTTTACTTTTTTCCCCATTAACGGTTTTCCGTAGGCTGCAGATTATCGCTTTCCCTTCTAGGCCCTGACCCATATTGAGCGTAGTCTGGCGGATGTGTTCTCTAAATCGGCGGATGAAAATTACGGAATGGTAAAGAGGTTGACGAGGGAACTGGTCGCAGCCAAGGGCGTTGTACAACACACACCACTCGGATTCTGAAAAGGCTCGACAAACGTGTTCTCCCACTCCGCCTCACAACCCTCTACTCAGGTTCCGTCATCAAATACCTCGCTTTTCAAAGCTCGCTCAGGCCAAAGACAATCTTCTGCGTTTTTTCGCTCAGGGATATTCTTCTGCTCTTTCTGTGCCACGTTCTCTTTTGCTAACATTGCTTTACATTGTCAGTGTTTACTAACCAAAGTCTTTACTCTATCGCTCAAGCGTCCAGGCTGGAATGGCTTTCTATTGTTTCCAGCTCTACATTCGCACAAAACGCTACTACATCGGGCAGGCAGTCTGATCTAGCGACCAAAACATGTAAGATATGGCGGGGATTGGGCGTTTTCGGTAAAGAAAGCTCGACTATCATAAGAGGTGAATGCGACTGACAACAACACAACCCACCTGCCTGGATTGACGACGAACTCGCTACTGGTGGACAATGAGGAATCAGTGTGATTTATGGCGGGCGAGAGGGTTTTACTTAACACGCTTCTTCTGACCAGGTCGTCTAGTACCACAACTGCTGTCAGATTATCCACTTTTACCTACTTTTTCAGTGTTTCGCTGGCCCCATTGGCCTTGATCCCCAGAAATTTGACGCGAGACTAGAGAGTGTAGGTATCCTTGCATAGTAGTATACGCAAGCAGCTATGCCTCGACTCTACGAGGCCTCTGCCATCACAGATGTTCATCAGACAGGCTTGAAACCGTTAGTCTGAAATGCGGCAGAAGGTCGACCGGATCTTAATGTATATGTTCCCGATACAATTTAGAGCAGCTGATTGACCACGTGGTGGTAGATTATGCCAGAGTTAGTTGAAATCTTTGGGAAATCACAACACTGTCTTGCCATTATGACTTTCTATGAGCTGCATGTGCTGAAGTCGCACTACAGACCCATCTTAGGAAATATTGGCCGACATTCTAAGATGTGTTTTCGGTTAGGAAGGAGTTCCCAGGTGTGGTTGTGAAGTTGATTATCCTGCAGCGTAATCCAAAGATATTTCGGTCATGCCACGATGCTAGTCTTTAAATGCAATTTTTTCGGCCGCCTTCCTAGACTGCACGGTAAAAAACGAACGCTAAATTAGTATGGATCCTTCTCATTGGTTTCCCATGCCCTCATAAATGAAAATGTATTTTTTCAAAAATATGTACGCATATCCTTGCACTCATTTGGTAGCCAGTCGCGTCTACTTCAATATTTATACTTGAAGGAAGGACATATTTCGGTCTTAAAAAGGTTTCTAATGCTTTTCGTTCGGACCGTGCAATGTCCGTCCAAATGGTATCGTGTCTGTTCCTTTATTCATGATCTACACGATTATACGACATAGTACACTATTGCAATATTTCCTTATCCGTGTGTGGCATAGAAGAATGCATGATTTTTCTTAGTGCAAACGCAACGGCAGATCAGGCTTAAAATTACTCGTTAATTGGGAAACTGTTTAAAACCTAGATATACGCTTCTTCCGAGTATAAAGTCTGAAGAAAAAGTGGTTTCCTACCAAATGCTACAATAAAATGTATTTTCGTGCATGTTTTCTGGAAAATATATCTTGATTTAGAAGGGTGCCGGAAATCATTGGAAAAAGTACATATCAATTAAGTGGTCATTTTTTACTGAGTGGTGTTTTTGCAGACGATCAGAAAAAAGCTAATTCGAAGACCGACGTCTCGGCGTGCTTGAAGTATCATGTGATAATGCCGCCTATTAATCAATATTGCTCTTGTCCTTCCTAATTAAAGACGCACTTCCGAATTCCGGTTAACTATTCATGAGATCGGTCACTGGCTGTGAATAACAAAGGAAACGGGGGTGACTGTTACTAGCCTACTTAGAGCTTGCAAGCTCATGGAGTCGTCCGATTATTCGTTTGTCTTTATTACAAATGGTTAAGAGAGCTGTAAATCTGCAGTTCAGATAACCGGGGTACGTTCCATGCGGAGATCACTCTGTAGACATAGCAGTGCAAGCA